GGGTGAGAGAGAAAGGAAGTGAGATAACACCCAATGAAATGCCAGAAGTTTGAGAACATTAATATGAAGGACAAGTTTGTCTACAGACAAATGGCCTGAAGCTTCATAGTGAATGACCCAAGCCCCCATCCATGAAGAAAAGCATCCATGAACAGATAGACATCTGGATGCGGGGGAGGAAGTGGCACACCTGTTGATGTTTGGGCTTTGTCGAGCCACCACAGCAGATCGACACTCAGGGAAAGAGGAAAGGAAATAGTGGCAGAAAGAGGCTCCCGTGCAAGGTTCCTCATATGGACACAACTGAGGGGGACCAATGCAGTCATGGAAAACCACATCCCCAAAAGTAATAGAATGTCTTGAGCAGTAAGTGACCAAGCTGAGAGGGCACAGTGAAAAGAACTGAGGTGTAAAGGAGAAGGGAGAGCTCGACTGATTTTGGTGTTGAAGAAGACCCCCCAAGTGCACTAAGTACTGGGTTGGTTGAAGGACCAACTTCTCCAATTTTATCAACCGGTCCACTTGAGTTGCCACAGAAAGGAGTTGGTGAGTGTGACTGGTTGACTTTTGCTTAGAATGAGCTAAAAGTAGCCAGTCAACCATGTAATGATGAAACTGCAATCCCAAAGAATGAATATGATGAGCAGATGTCAGAATGATGTAACGAAACACATATGGAGACCAAAGCAAGTATGAAGGGGAGAGCCTGAAATTGGTAAACCACCCCAAGATGAACAAACTGAACATAAAGACTGAATTGAAGGGCTATTGGGATGTGGAGATAGGCATTGGAAACATTTATTTTTGTCATCCACAATCACGCATAAAATGCCCATATCTGGGTAAGAAAGGACTATATAGTGAACTTTGGGGGTGGGATGAAGTGGTTGAGGCACAGCAAATCAATAATCGATCATCAATCCCTGGTTTTCTTGGGGACCACAAGAAGACGGGAGTAAAACCCCTCCAAGGGATGGTGAACCAGTTCAATAGCCTGCTGCAAAAGCAAATCCTGAACTGCCTCTGACAGATGCTTGCAAGTCACAGGATCTTGAGGAGGAGGAAAGGAAATGTGGTGCAGAGAAAGAGGTGGTGGGGAAAGAAACATGAAAATAAGTCCCTCTGAAAGAACCTTTGTCACCCATTGATCCTCGACAAATGGAAGCCAGTGAGGAAGAAAATCCAACAAATGAGCTCCAACAGACCCCGAACCCACCAGGTAATCACTGGTACTGTTGACATCGGACGACATGTTAGCGATGACCTCGATGAATTCAAGTACCCAGATGTAAAGGAATGGATAAAGCATGGGAGAATGAAGGACGGAAAACAGGAATAGGTGGCATGGAAAGCTCTAGTCGAGACAAATGGGCCACAAAAGTAGAAAGGGTGGACTGCTGTCAGTGGATGTTACCTGTCACTCAATATTGTCAAATAAAAGGAGCAAGACGTAAATCCCTAAGATAAGTGGAGGGTAAATTACCACAAGCCAGAATAGAGTCACTACCAATAAGGTCCAAACAACAAAGAAATCACGTATGTAACGACACAACCGAGGAAGAAATACAGGCCAAAGTGGAAGAGAGAAGGTGAAGGATATTGGTAGAAAATCCCTTAGGATTTCTGTGGAGAGCCACCTAGAGAAGATGTATAGAAGACAGATACCGGAGAAGGGTATTAAGGGTAAGACGAAAGTGAGAATATTGGGCATGTGTGAGAATTAGATTTGGAAACTGCCCATCAAAGAGGTAATAAGGAACCCAACAACTGGTGATCCAAAAATGAATATTCTGTCCGATGGTAAGCAAGGGCGTACTTATCAGAGGCTCGTTGGGGGGGGGGGGGGGTAGTTAGGGTTAGGGGGGGGGGAGCATGGCATACTGATCCCTTCACCTATCTGGGAGAGAAAGTGATCTACATAGACCTGAATATCAGGAGAGGCATGAAATATCAAAAATAATTATGAGCAGAATGCTCATGCAACAAAAAAGGACTAGGGAGAATATGAAACAGAGGAAAGAGACAAAACATCACAAACACGGGATACAAAATCCATAAATGCCGAGGAAGGCCTAGGTGAATCATCAGGATGGAACTGGGAAGGAACGGCAAACTCTGGAGGAGGAAAAAGACGATCAAAATTGTCATCATGCTGTATAATGTCAGCAGACTTTGAAGGAGCTCAAGCAAAGTAAAGAGACAAAGGATGACCCAAATAGCATTCAATCTCCTGATAGACAGAATCAGAAAGATCTACAGTTGGGTCACCTGCACCTGAGGCCTGAGATAGAAGATTGGTTGTTGATGTGACCCCCAAAGTGGTAATGTTGACTCCAAAATTCACAACTCATGAAAACAGCCCAAAATTGTCTAGTGCAGAAAAGCAACGATAATAAACTGGGAGCAATGTGGTAATGTATAACAAAAAACAAATGAATCACTTCAAATGCAAATCAAAAATGTGTCACGCAGGGAGCATGAAGCACAAAAGAAAATGTCTGTACTCAAAAGCTGCCAAACAAAAAGTGAAGGTTTAGTACTACTAATTTTCAATACAGTGTGTATATCTTCACAAAATGTGGCAGTCTTGCAGTTGATAAGTCTTTCACATACAAAAATCATATTTTTAGTGTAGTATTTTTAATAAAATAAAATAATGGTTTGTCGATGAATATATTGAGTATTTGTTCCTTTGTGCAACTCCTAAAACTTCCTAAATGCATTTCAAGCATTATTTTTTTCAGTAAAACTTCACAATATATTAGTTAATGTCTGTACCCAATCTCGAAATGGGATTGGTCAATTGGTCCAACCTCGTAACCACCCAAAAAACAAACAAACCTAAATTAACCTTTTTTCTTTCTAGAATGACTTCAAATTGCAACAAGAAACTAAATTCGTTTATTCTAAGTAACTCTAAGTTCGTATCATTATACATCTGTTTATGTTTAAATTTTATTGTTTTATTGCCCTTTGAACCATGTCTAACTACTATCCGCACCATTATTATTTATTTTATCTAATCTAATCTTAAAAAACCTAAAAGGATCCCTATTTTTACATTTTAGTTACTCTTATAATTATACATAAAGAATAAACATGAAAAATAAAAAATAAAATACTTAACCAATCTTCTTTTTTTCACACTAATTAGTTCACACTAATTTTTTTACACTAATGATACTAATGCACTTTATAATTTTTTATTTAATTAAACAATGAACAAAAGAATATGGACTAATAACATGCAAAAAGTAGACAAATTCCCTTACCTCTCAAAATTTTTCTGCCTTTCTAACTATGTGACAAGAGCCGCTACAAATTTATCCAAACTAGTTGTTAACTTTATCACAGGAATGATGTTGGTACTCTGAGTAAAATTGATATCTAACTGTTCAGAACATAATGTTATAAAATACGTCATTTGATAAATGAAAACCTTGGCTTTCTATTGGTTATAGGTAATATATAATGAAACATAAGAGAGAACTACCAATGAATTCTGAAAGTGAGAATGTGACAGGTGGGGTCTGATTTTCTATTCGATAGCTCTGTAATCAAACAAAATTAAAGACTATAAAAATTATGGTTTGTCTGAGCAATGACGATTTTATAGAGAGTAATTTATGTTTAATTTCGTACATTTTTGATGGGTGATGGATGAAATATAGATGATGACATGCTAATACAAAATGTGTCACGTGGGTCACACTACCTCTAGGTTACTGTGATCCAGGTTTCTGATTGGTTGACTGCAGAATGTATGTAACTAATGAATACAGTTGTTACATTTTACAATAGATCTTTTTTCTGTTTTCGAAGAGTCGGGTATTAATGCTATGATGCATTGCCTTTGATTTGTATTGTTAGTGACCCACTGATCATATTATATCAACTATTCAATTTATTCTAATATTAAGTTATTTTCATTTGCATCCATTGAATAGAGTTAATTTTATTTTTATCTCAACTTTAACCACAACCAAATAATCCTTTGCTAGCATGAACAGCCTTCTGTCACCTGTCCCTTACATCAATAATGTTTATTTAACTTCACAATGTATGTGAGTGTGGTCTCTCTTGTTTCACCATTACACCAGTCTTTCTATACGCTAGGTCCTTAAACATTTAGTTGTAGCAGATATAAGGTAATAATGTTAAGTATTGTTTCTTGGCACTTGTGTATAATGTTAAAATAATAAATAAAACACAATAATAAAACAGATTAATAATTAAAAATGTTAAATTCCCTCGTCATTATGACACTTAAGCATCAAAACTTGTAGTCAACTTTTTGGGGGGCTATAGATTAGCCTCAATTAAAAATGTTTTTAATTGTGTATCTATTTTAACATTGTGTGTTATTTATCATTTTACTATGTGTTGCTTTATCCTTTATCTATATATAACTGATTAAGGATTGCTAATATAAGCTTCTGGAAGTCCTGATGGGTACTTAAACAATTGAGTAGTGTTAATATGAACTTCAGGATGTACTGAAGAATGAGCTTGTTTAAATGAATTACGTGTTAAACACGTGCATAATTAGGATATGTTAATATTATACTAATTGTAAGAAATGGTATTTAGCACATGTATAGTTTATATATGTTAAATGATCTACTGTCAGTGCTAAGAAATCGATTTAGTTACATAATCTGGATATTCAACACTTACTTAATTTTAATGTATTAAGTAAATCTTCAGTAAGTGCCACAAAATGGGTTTAGATCCATGAATTGGATATTTATCACATGTATAATTTGGAGATGTTATGTGATCTCCTGTGCTAAGAAACGAATTTAGATCTGTGAACTGGGTATTTAGCACATTCATATTTGGAAATGCTATGCTGAACCTCAGTCAATGCTGAGGTTATTGTCTACCTTTTGAAATAGTCGTTTTAAAAATGTTAGAGAAGTTTAGTACTATCTTAAAACTAAAGCTTTGTTTTTCCTTCAGTTAAATGTATAGTTCAACTTTTGACGATATGTACTTGCCTTTAATTTTGCTGGAATCTTTTCAGGGTCCACTGAAGTGGCAAAAATACGAAATACTTGGGTTGAAGGAATGTGCTCCAGAATTCGTTCAGTCACCAAGTTTGCAGCACTGTTGGATGGAGTACAAACTAGGATATGTGAGTTGCATAGATTTTTCCAAATCTAGAATGAAATGAATATGTTTGGTTAATAATTTTTTTTTTAATTTCAGTTTTTCTTTATTTTGAGAAGAATTATTTTAGATTATTAAGTAATTTGTATTTCATCACCAATATCTTTTAACTTTCAATTAGTAAATTATAAAGTTGATTGAACTTAGAAAGACAAATACTTTGAAGGTATTTAGAAAAGCTGCATATCAAACAGTCAGAGACAGAAAACCCTAATTACATGCGTACACATAGACACACACACACACACATATATATATATATATATATCATTATTAACCTGACAATGGATTACAATGAAGGCCAAAAACAAACCTAATTAATAATCTACTTCATTAAAATCTTAATTTCCACAATTAGTAACAACCTAAATCAATTAGTAAGATGTTAAATATGCAGGGTATCAGCTTACATAGGATTATTCATGACCAATGGAATATAATGAACCTCAAGTCATATTTCCCTGGCCAATTACTCAATAAACTCCCTGATTGTCTTCAATTCAACTGTAGTGATATAGAAGAGCAGATAGTATTTAAAACTGATTTCGAGGGGGGGGATACATTACAGGGTATTCCAGTATAAAGTTCTTTTATTCAGGATTACAAAAGAATGCAAGACATGAAAGTTTGGAATTTCAAAGAAAGGAATATATGTAGGGTTGAACCATATGGATTAAGCAAAATTCCACCAAGGAAGAAAAAGGCTACTCCATAATCAGCCACCAAGGCAACACCAGATGTAGAGAAGAAAATTGAATAGTGTCTCATTGGAAAATGGTACCAAAAAACAGTGTCCATTGTAGCTAAAGTAGGATCATTCTTTGTAACTGTGAACAATATAACCTACAATGATTTAGAACTACTTTTAGGTAAATATGTAGAATCAATTCCAGGTTTACAATGTGATTTTAGTTTTATATGTTTACATATATGTTGACTTATATCACCGGATTATGGCAGATGATAAAGTGTTTAAAAATATTTTAATGCTTTGTTTCCTTTTTAAATAATAAAATTTCTTACAAGATTTTATACATTTGTAAGGATAAAATTATGTTTTGTGATATAACTATTTTTTTATTAATCACATACATAACTGAAGATAAATATATACATGTACCAACTTAAGTAAAAAATAAGTTACTTAGGTAACTATTCACCTACAATTACCTGTTAATGAGAAATATTGTAATTTTTATTTCAGGTATGTGAAGTAAGCCACCTTTCATAAAGTCTGCTAAAGAATTATTTCTGATACTTTTAGATTACTGACTGAAATTTAAAGGACACATACATGACATACATTTGATGTATACATATAGAACTTGGCTGTCCAATTTAAAATCAGATGGGGGGATAGTTTGCAAGTTAGCAATTCAGTCATAGGCCAAATGCTAATTAACAATCTAAAATGCTGGTCTATAATTATATTTGTATACTGAAACATGTAATATGTATTCATTGTACATCTACAGTTATGTAACAAATAATGAAAGTTAATACACAAATAATACTTTGCCTCTAAGATGTAAAATAAGTATTTGTTTCTTTATCTATTTTACAAACTTATATTTTAGATAATAAAATAATCCTTCTAATGCTAAGGGAAGTTGGGTAAAGTCTGGTCATGGGTCAACAGTTGGATAGCTCTGGTTTACAATGTTAATAATTTCTTATTATTCGAAAAACAATGGTAATAGTTATCATGTGCACATGTACATGGATTACGAGTTGGTGCACAATATAGACCAGAGGAACTACTTCTTGTCAATATGTGCATACAACCCATGTGAACATGGAGTTTCTTATCACAATATTGCACATGGTTTATGAGTTAGCTGGTGAACAACACAGAACCAGAGACACCACTTCTTGTCAATATGTGCATATAATAAATGTGAACATGGAGTTTCTTATCAGAATATTGTACAAGTATTATGAGTTAGCTGGTGAACATCACAGAACCAAAGGCACTACTTCTTGTTAATATGTACATACAACCCACGTGAGCATGAAGTTTGTTATCACAATATTGTACAAGGATTATGAGTTAGCTGGTGAACAACACAGAACCAGAGGCACTACTTCTTGTTAATATGTACATACAACCCACGTGAGCATGAAGTTTGTTATCACAATATTGTACAAGGATTATGAGTTAGCTGGTGAACAACACAGAACCAAAGGCACTACTTCTTGTCAATATGTACATATAATAAATGTGAACATGGAGTTTGTTATCAGAATATTGTACAAGAATTATGTGTTAGCTGGTGAACAACACAGAACCAAAGGCAATACTTCTTGTTAATATGTACATACAACCCACGTGAGCATCAAGTTTGTTATCACAATATTGTACAAGGAATAGGTGTTAGCTGGTGAACTACACAGAACCAGAGGCACTACTTCTTGTTAATATGTACATACAACCCACGTGAGCATGAAGTTTGTTATCACAATATTGTACAAGGATTATGAGTTAGCTGGTACACAACACAGAACCAGAGGCACTACTTCTTGTTAATATGTACATAACTTTTTCTATAGAAAAGAACAATACTTATGAAAGAGAGGATGCATGCCACTTAAATTGCTGTCAAGTAAATTAACCTGATTGTCTATCCATGTGTTGTCATTTACTGGAACATGAACAATTTCCAGCTATTACATGGGATGTGATGACGTCACCAGCAAACACGATTGTCTCCATCAAGTGCAATCCTGTCTCTAATTGGCCATGACTATAAGTTATAGAATAAATAGACATTACAAGTACAGGAAACAAGTAGCAGTACCCAATAATCTCTATAGTCTCTTGAGATAACCATATAACACCATAAAAGACTGATTAAAATCAGAACTTTGTTTCTGCTGATACTAATTAGACAAAACAAACATGCTTAATCAAGAGCTCTGAGGATATGCATTGCAGTGTGGGTTTAAAGGTCATTGTGCATGTGTAATGAATGAAAATCCACTGAATTATATAAATAGTGTTTAACCACTTACAAGTCTTAACCAATTATTTCCTTTCCAGATTCATATCTCAAGTACAGGTTAGCTAGATCATTTGGTGCATGGCTTGTTAAAGCAAGTCTTCACTGAGTACTCTGGTTTCCCCTGCATCAAAATGAATTAGGGCATTCGATAACTTTATCCTAACCATTTCTCTTGTAAGTCCATCAGACTCAGATGTTATTTTTATTTTCACTTTAAAAGTACAGTACAGTAATTCATACCAATACCATTATTATGTAATGATTAACAACAACCCAAAACAGGAACAGGTGTACTTGGTTCTGCTTTTCCTTCTCACATGCTCTCACTGACCACCTACTTATGGTTGACATCCTCATCTCATGCATCAACAAATATATGTGCTCCTGCTCTGACATCTGAACGGCTTCTTCATGGCTTTCTTTCTCAGCTTGTGTCAGCATCCATCATGCCTTCACTTACTTGAAACAACATGCCCTACTCAACTAGTCTCCAAATTCAAGTGGCATTAACATTTTATCTCTTGTGGAGTGAAGAGAAACAAGAGTTTCTGACCTCCCTGGGTTGTCTTGCAAGCCACAAAATACTTTTGAGGCTTGAAAGATATTAAACCTAAATTCCTGCCATTAATTTTGTTTTGTTGTTTAGTGAGTAAGTCAGCTCAGCAAGACATTAGGAGCAGAGTAAAGCAAGAAAGACATTTGTGGCTCAACCCAGCAGGCACATCAATGTTGTAGTCAACTTTGAGATGATGGTAAATTAAAGTTGGATTCGAAAATTGAAATGATGTTGAAATTACAACATTGAAACAACTATAGAAACTTCTTAATAAAATGAAAAACAAACTTTTTGGAACATTATATCTCATTTAAGTTGTACGCACACCTCTCCCTTCTCATGCTGCAGGATAATCAACAATTCAGGCAACGATTAAAAATATTAATTATATATATATATATAAGCTCTCTTTGGTTGAAAATAACACAAAAATCAACGTTGAAACAATGTCAGAAATCACCACTTATTCAAAATTGAAAATATTGTTTTGAAACAACATTGTTCAATGTCATGACCAAAAGTAATTATATTTCAACATTGAGAATGACAATGCAGAATTCTCAACATTTTTGGAAATAGTAAGTGTTTCATCACTATAAAAGTATAGAAGTATAAAATAGCATCTAGCTATTGAAGAAATGAATGTTTTAATAAACCAATTTAAATGAATTCATGATGGCATGAACAATTAAATAAGGTAAATCTCTATAAGTACCATTCATAAAAGTAACTGTAATAATATTACTTTGTTTAGAGTAATAATCTTTTACTCATAAAAGTAATAATATTACAATAACACATAACCCCAACATTGCCTCCTACATAACATTATTGAACATTCTTAGTTGTCTTTCCTCATTTTATAACAATCACAACAGATATAGATCTAATAATGACTCCCATGCCAAAGGGATCTTCAGAAGCACAATAATTATCTTACCAAAACAAATCTGATTAGTAATTTCATCAAAATAATTTTCAATCTCACCTGTTTTGTGGCCTCAACTAAAGTTACAGTTTTCCCAGTTCCTGGTGGACCAAACAATAGATATGGAGCAGGTCGAGATGTACCTGCCAAAATATAACGAACAGCTAAAAACTGCTCACGATTCTTCTCAATATTCTTGTTGTACAGTCTACAAACAAATCCCCCCCAAAAAAATCAAATTTTAGTACCATTTGAAAATGTTTTTTATATAACTTACTGGGAAAAAAAACCCAACAAATTTTATTGTTACATATGATGCTATTGCTAACAATGTGTCCTTATGAAAATAATGCAGCAATTTCAGATTGTAGAATCACAAATATAAGCTACTTCAAATTTTATCTAACTAAGTTAGAAATTACACATAAACATGCCCATTTGTGAAGTTAAAATAGCACTCAAATAATGACTTATTTCAGAATAAACTTTTAATCTAAGACTTCCTAACTATCTGAATTTCATATGGTTTTAAAAGATATCTAGAATTCTCAGCATGAAGATCTGATGATAAATATAATACATCTGAAGTCAGAATAAGTAGGGATATAGGGAAGAATACTTTCAGAAGGTCCAGTTACTAAACTTGAGACTTATTACATGTGGTATTTTGTTGGAGGCATTAAATCCTTAAGACTGCACAATTCCATCTCTAGTAATGATTTAAAACAAAAAGAACAGTTAAACAACTTGTGACTGATTAATAATATGACTGAGAATCATAGCAAAAGTTACAACCACAGCTGTATTTGTGTCTTTACAAAGTTGCTGAAATAAAAATGGATGTAAACTGAAAGAACAATATTTAATGGGAAAAGTAAAGGGGTTGGTCAAACCCTACAAAAGAAAATTCCAGAGATTAAAAATAAAAAAATAAAAATAAAAGTGCACTTCTCACTCTTGAAAAAAAGACACAAAGAACAATAAAATGAATTCAATATTGGGTAAAGATTAAAAAAATGAACTCACCAAATTGGCACAGTGGTCAAAGTTAAAAAGAAAGATCAATTCTGAAAAATCAGTCAATCATGCATATGAAAATGAAAGTCAAGAGTTTCTTTCTAGTGATAAAACTTCCACCAAAGATAAAAAATAAGAAGCACAGTCAAGGCCAAATGTAATGGCTCAGACCTGACATATCTATCTTCTGGTAACAGAAAAGAATAAACTGCTATAATGTGGATGATCAGATGTATGAAAGTAAGTATAAAATATATCCAGGGAAGCCATTCAATTACCGTGATGAATAACATTCATCTTAAAATGAAAAATAAAAAGTTTCACAGATTACAACTGTGGGTAAGACTTTGTAGACAGGAATTTTAAAACTTCCAAAGCATAGCTAATCAAAAACAATAAGCAGACAAATCTGAAGAAAGTGACAGGACTTGGAAAAGTGAGAAACAATTGCCAATCTCTTTTGTATGACATCAAATCATAAAGGAAGCAAGTTTTCAACAAGAAAATAAGAAAAAACCTACTCCAAGAAAGGTAACACATTGCCTGTTAATTGAAAAACAAAGTAGAAACTACACCCTCTGACTAAGGTTAGATATAAAAACCTGTACATTCTGAAAGGCACAAGAAAAAAGTGAAGAATTATAAGGTTTGCTTATAATTAGAAGCAAACAATGGTAAAAAGACTCCATGGATTGTCACTAAAGAGCTATGAATTAGGAATAAAAGAGGAATAAAGTTCCTCAAAGTATGCTCAAAGAAGTTATATGTCTGATAAAATGTTAAATGGGAACAAATTCTAAAAATAAGACAACAAGGTAACCAAAGCCACAAGACAAGCTAATAAAAAGAAGAGAAAGTTATTCACGGGGCCAAAGATTTAAATGAAAAATGAGCTGGCAGATAAAAATGATGTGAAGAAAAATTATTGTTATTTCAATTTGTTTAAAAGAGCAGAACAACTGTGCCCATTCAACAATTTTAGGAGATGAGATGTAAAATTCATAATCATGACCATAACCTTGAAGTACATTGAAACACAACTGCATCAGATAAACTACAATTCTCAGAATGAAACACCACTTTTCGAACGTTCTTTATCAGTACCAGAAAAAACAAACTTCCTCCAAGAAAACAGAATGTACAAATGAAAAAATTATTATAAAAAAGTTTATTTAAGTTTTAACTTCCATAACCAGAAAAACAACTGAAAGCACACCGACAAGAAAAAAAACAATTTTAAGACTAGATTCCTAGCAGCTTGCTATAACACAAAAAAAGGACAAATGAAGTGATCGATCTTCTAAATTGTGTAGCATATGTGCTATATCGGGAATGGATAAATAATGTTATGGGAATTTATTGTTAAGCCTAGTTTCTAGTAATTCTAGGTCTAAGTACTAGTATCACAGCTGTTGCAAGTTAACATTAGCCTATTTTTCTTAATCATGTGGTTATTAATTTTGTATAGTAGCTAGATTAATGTACCTATGTTAAGTTGAAAGTAGACTAGAAACTTAATGGATGAATGAGATAATAAAATCAAAAGTATAAAATAACAATCAAGATAAAAACTTTAACATTAATATTTCACATATACTTTAACATACTTGTATCAACACCTATATGGTTATTTGGTGAGGTTGATAATACTAACATTAACCTACGTGCAGAGTTTGGTTATTTCTGAAAAATGGTTGGAGTTTGTCAGTTACTACCCTGAATCTTTCAAACATTTTTATTTTACATATACACAACAAAGATATGTATGTTAGTGTAATTAGTACAGAATTTGTGAAGACTAAAATTAATTAAAAGTCACAATGAATTATGAGAAATATAGAAAAATGAAGAAATGCTTGAAAGGTTAAAAATATAGCATGTATTTATAAAATAGTTTTCACTATATTACTGGTGGTGTGTTTCTGTGTATTTAATATGTTTACCATCTGTACTAATGCTACTGCACAGAAGTTTGCTATGACATGAAAATCATACCTAACATCACAATCTAAGTTAACTTAATACACAAAACTTTTTGTGTATGGTTTGATATACATTTCACATAAATATAACACAAATACCTGATATTCTGTGGTTAGCAAACTGGAAATTTTCACAGACTTGGCACATTAGTTTCCAGATGTGGCCAGATCTAGTACCTTTCCAGATCTCTATTTAAACAGATCTGGACAAAATGCAGTATTTTTGTAAGAGGAAAAATATTACTCCACCAAGCTTCATTTTGTACCAGGAATACTACTGAAAGATATTAAACTATTGACTGAAAAATCTAGTGCTGATATTTAATCAATATCTTTCTTATATACAACTGCATCACAAATGCTTTAGTAATCTATTTATTAGATTCTTTCTATTACAAAATATGTAAATTGATGGGATAAAATTACATACATAAGTGACGTTGATATATCAACCAAGGGTTTACAAGTGACATCTGATGATTGACATGGGAAGAGAACTGGCCACATCTCATAATTTGAGGCTAAATAAATAGCTTGATGCATTAACTTCAGTGGTAGATCATTATAGGAAAAGCAAACATCAAACTTCATTCCAGTTACAAAATCTCTCAAAAGCCTGAAAATGAAGAATTTCCATTTAATTTCAGTAACTGCCATAAGACTTATAGAAAACAAAACATAACAGTAATATTTGCTTTTCCAGTACTACATGTACCCAAAAAGTTTTTTTCTGTCAACTAAAAATTACCATAGGTACACTTACAGCTTGTTTTTGTCAATTACAAGTTACCATAGGTACCCTTACAGCTTGTTTCTGTCAATTACAAGTTACCATAGGTACCCTTATAGTTTGTTTCTGTCAACTAAAAATTACCATAGGTACCCTTATAGTTTGTTTCTGTAAACAAAAAATTACCATAGGTACCCTTACAGCTTGTTTTTGTCAATTACAAGTTACCATAGGTACCCTTATAGTTTGTTTCTGTCAACTAAAAATTATCAATATGCACCCTCAGAGTTTGTTTCTGTATACTATAAGTTACCACAGGTACTTGCGGAGTTTGTATCTGTCAACTAAAAATCACCATAAGTACCCTTATAGTTTGTTTCTGTTGAATGCATATTACCACAGGTACCATATGCATCATTTGAGTTTGTTGCTGTTTACTAAAACTAATACAAATATTTTCAATAAAAAAAAACTTTATAATATAAATAAATAAAAACAACATCACAAATTCTGGGTATTTTTGTCAACTAAACATTTCAATATTTTTGAATCCATTAAACATTAAAAACTAAATGAAATGCCTTTTCAACATTATATTTTTATCAGATTTATTATGCACTTTCAAATATTACAAACTAAAGAAGTCAAATCAAAAGATAAGTGCATGTCAGTGTAAATTTCTTAGTGTTTTATGCATAGTTTCAAACCTTGCAAACTAAATCATTAATATAAAAGACTAAGTGCATGATGTGTTAGTGCTTTTTTAATCAGTGTTTATTCTATATATATTTTACTCAATAAAAAGAATAATGATAACTATATGACACTGTGTCAGTGTATTATTATTTACAATGTTTTATTATGCACTTTTCAATATTAAAAAAATGATAAAATGAAAGGCTTTTTCTTTGTGATATCTTAATATTTTTCTATCAGTATTATATTCTTATTTGCAAAACAAATTATTTAATATATTATAAAAAGTTCACTAAATGTTGAAATGTCCATGTTTTTTTAGAAATCAATTCTATGCTTATATCCTAGTATTATATCTTGAATTTTTAAACAGTCACACATTCATTCAAAAATTTAAATAATAAAAATTTTACATAATGTATTCTGCACCAATGTTATATTTCAAACAGTCATTACTCCATTCACGAAGAACATAAAATTTAGCTACATGTGTTAATCAGTTGCTATTAAGTCTACTTATTATTATTAGCTAGGAAATGTTTGTGTGTGTGTTTTCTTATAGCAAAGCCATATTGGGCTATCTACTGTGTCCACCGAGGGGAATGGAATCCCTGATTTGAGCATTCTAAACCTGAAGACTTACCACTGTCCCACCAGGGGACTTAACTAGGAAAAACATTTTGTATTAAATAATTACTAGTTAAATCAATATATCCAAAATTATATTATATATACAACAATTATATTAAACCTAAGAAAGAAGTGGATAATATTTATATAGTTCATTTGTGTGCATGTTACACTGATGTTTAGTATATACATATTGGTTTAGGCTGTATCTACATTTATTGAGAAGATGGGACATCATAAACTATTACTAAAATTAAAGCCATTATCAGTGGCAGCACATCAAAATTGTCAATTAATTTTATGTACTTTCAATAAGTTTTTACCAGTTAACACAAGTTTATATTTTGTATTGTAATAACAATTTATCTTCATTCTAATTTTATTGATTAGTCTTTTCAGCTAATCTGCAGTAATATATTAATTATAAATTTCTGTTGTTATCAATAATGTAAATCAGACTGAAGCATATTTTAATCTAAACTGCACTATCAGTATTGGCTGTTGATATGTTCATTGATTTATAATATAATTGAGCAAGGCTACCTTTCACTAAAACCTAGTAAAACTTTAGTTTCCTGAACTTTATGAACACTTCCTTCATATTCCACAGTCTCTACATAATCTCCATAACGTTTCCTCACATATACAGAATCACCTCTCAACAATGAAGGACGATTTTCTGCGAGTCCTGGGACCTGTTTACAAATGAATGAATTAATACTTGCATAACAGATTTTTTTTTTTATAAATTACTTGAAGTTAAGGAAAATCAAACAAATCAGTTTAAAAAACATTATCTACAATAATCCTTCTCATTATTCTTTATCAATGATATACTTTCATTATATGAGAGACATTTAAATGTTTCACTTCTGTAAATAAACAAAATGTTTTGATGTTAGAGAAACCAATGTTTCATAGTAAGTATATTTTCAATATAATCTTGAAAATTTAGTTTCAATTTTATATTTCAGCTAGAATTACAACCTGGAAGTTGACTACTAAGTTAAAGCTAACTGAAAATTCAATCAGTTATAATCTGTAAATTATTAAAACATGCAAAAAACTTACACTACTGCTTAAAAACTACCTATACCTTGTCTAAGACATAAAAAATAGTGTTTTACCTTAGTAACAAAGTAATAACTCTGACATTACAGCTGATAACAATTTTAAAGGCATAAAATGTACCTTAATGTTATATTGAGTAACAGATTTCAGCCCTTAGCTTGCACAGATGATGCCTATTGAAAGGAAGGAAAGCAAAAGGGACAGTGAATGATATTCATCACTATATCTGAGAGTAACATATCATTTAAAAACAAAATTTTATGCAAGTACCTCCCTGAGCAGTATAATTTGGTGACATCAGTCGGAAAAATGTTATAACTTTGACCAGGTATTCCCAGCATGCCATAAAATCATCTGAATGTGGTATTTGTATATCTCAAATAGTGTTAATTATGCCTAATTAGTCCCTTAAAGTGATGTTATAACTTTGACCAGGTATTCCCAGCATGCCATAAAATCATCTGAATGTGGTATTTGTATAATCTCAAATAATGTTAATTATGCCTAATTAGTCACTTAAAGTGAAAATACTTGAATGATCAGCATAAATCACTTAAGGCTGCCTTGATAAAATTTTGAATACAAACATAAAGGATTCAATTTCTTTTGAAAAATTCAAACAAACTATAACCTTAATTAATGCTGAGTAGATATGTTAATATTTACTTATATCTTTCAAACACTGAATTTATACTGATACCATAAAGACACACACTTGTGAAATTTTGTAGTTTTGTAATTACTTTTCATCTAATTCATCCACCTTCATATGGGAAATTGTCAGAAATGCCATACACAATTAAGAATACTCTATGTTAATTTATTTTTATGTCCTTTTTTTTTTATAAGGTTAAAATAATACCTTACCAAATTTCTTGACACTTGATGCAATAAAAAAATTAACTAAGGAAGTTGAATATATGCTCATAATATAAATATTTCAACATAATTTCAGGTATCATCAATAGCAAGGGTGAAACAAAGCATTCTAATCTTTACATATAAGAATGAATGAAAGTATGTTTAATTAGCTATAGTCATTACTTACAACCAAGGTTAATTTTAGTTTTACTCTAAACAGGTAGCAGGTTGTTATGAAAGTTACTATTATGTAATATCAAATGCAAACAAACGTTTAAAACTGTAAATATCTATCTGACCAATCAATCAAGTGGCTTTTACTGCTGTGAAAAAATATGTACTGATTTGAAGTTATCACATTTACATAATTCAAGATAAATATTTAATTTTTTTTTGAAAGATTGTGCTATACAAACAAGATATTAGAAATAAACAAGATAATATAAATCAATAAATAATTCACATACTGTTCATACAATAATAAAAATGCTACTATTATACAATACCTTATATAAGTTAGGATTAAGTGTTTTATGAAACACAATATTCAATTTTATTTCAAAGTGTTGATTCATTGTGATACGTGTTACACTTAATATCAGAAATGAGTTATTTATTGATTGAAATGAAGATACTAATTTCTAAGTCTAATTCATCATGCATTTAAAAAGGTTGTGTTCCTTCTAATGAGGTCTTGCAATAGGAATTAAAGCATTTTTGCTAGCTCAGTCACAAGTGAAGTAAGAGTGATAGTTTCTGGGAATATGTAAAATATAATATGAACATTCATATATCTCAGTTAAACACCTAGTTTAAACCAGAAACATGTTGAACATATTTCAAAATTAACTTTCTTTGTTAGTCTTTGACAGATAATTTAGGTTGCATTTTCATGATGAAGGGTGGTTGATTATGGAATTCAACAATCTTGGAAGCATTTAATCCTCTGGATGAGAGAGTTGGTGGGTGTTAATGTTTTGAGTGACTTCTGTAAATCATCTTTAGATTTGCTGGTATTTAATCCTCTGGATGAGAGAGTTGGTGGGTGTTAATGTTTTGAGTGACTTCTGTAAATCATCTTTAGATCCACTGGTATTTAAGATGGTTATCATGTAGTTCATGAATACATACAACATGATGATGATGATGATGATGTAAACCTAAGAGAGAACTTCATGATCATCCCCAAGCTCTAGCTGAAGAGTGGTTGTAATAAAGAGTTTTGTGTTGTCTGAAACTGTGCTTCTTGAACATGATGCAATAGAGGAAGACTTAGCAGTAAAACTGTTAGTTAAGAATGAGATACCAAAGGTTGTCAGCTTCTAAAATTGTTTCTCTTTTGATGTTTGGTTTTCTTGTGTTTATGGAGGAAGGTTTCCTTCATTTGCCACTTTCACATTTTTTTCTTTAATAGGAAACTTCTAGTTATCCCAGTTAATAGTGATCTGTAAGAAAGCCATGCTCTGCAATGGCATAGCTTTGTGCCTTCCTCACTCTGGTGAACTCCTTGGACTCTCTCCAAAGCATCTGTTTCTGTGTGTTTGAGCAGTAACATATTTTTTTATGTTTTTATCTGATGGAGGATTAGTTTTCATATTATAGTAATAATCCCAGAGTTTTAGGGGCTTTCCAATGGATTTCAACATCAAGCTTCTTGGCTATGTACATTAATTTTTCACTAAGGGTTGTTATGTAGGGAAAATAGACAGTGGTAATGGGTCTCACTGTGTCTTTGGTTCAGTTGATGATAAAATTAGAGTGGTAGCCATTGTGTTTATAGGTTTAAAAAATGTGTTGTTGTTCTGGTGTTACTGTTGATTTTTACTATTGCAAGCACCCTACCCTGTCATTTTGCTTATGAATGAGAGAAAGGTAGGTGAGGCAGTTATTTTTTTTTCTCTCTCTCTCTCCATTGTGAACTTAATGTTGTTGCTAAAAGAGTTGAAGTGTGAAAGGAGCTACATTATGTATTTTGTGTTCACAATGTGGCCAGATGATGAGATTCATTCATATAACTTTTGTGAAAGGATGGTGAAATGACAGTACAGGTAAAATCTTTTTTCTAAAGCTTTCTTTGCAAATGCCTGCTAAAATAAGAGAAAGGGGTGATTAGATGGCTAAACCATCATGTTATTCAAAATACCTGTCATTACGCTGAAGAAGGTATTTGATGGACACTGCAACATAGTTCATAGTTTCAACATTCATAGTAGTTCTGGAAGTGAAGTGTGGTGTCTGTTTCTAATAATAGCTTTAGTAGTTGAGGTGTTTCATTTGTAGGACACTACATCAGAACTAAAAAAAAAAGACTGGTAGGTCCTATATGCAATATCTTGATATCCTCTGTTAATTCTGTTGAGTATTTTATATTGGGTATTTCCTCATAATGGTGATAGGACTGGTACTCTGAACCTTCCTACGTAATAAGTGTAAGAGATGAGTGCGCTCATGACTGGATGGATTGAGAGTATTTGTGTATTTATGGGAGTCTGTATATTTGGTAAGAGCAAATGTCTTAAATTCTGAGTGCTTCAGCACTGTTGATCTAGATTAACTTATTGTTTTGAAGATTATCTGTGGTACTGTTTACTAGATCTTCTTTGATTTCTTGGTATCTGTTGTTGTTGAGTAATTGTGCAATTTTGTTGTGGTAATCAGTTTTGATTAAGATAATTGTTATTTCCTTCAGATGCTGATAAGATAATGATAATAGGATCCTGCTTCAAACAACTGGTAGCTTTAGTCTCAGTTGTTAATAAGTTTAGTTTTGAGGGCTCAACTGATTTAAGGATAGAATAAGTGGAATGTTTGGACTGCTCCTCTTTAATGTTTTTGCTATTGGTGTACTAAACCAATAACTTC